ATGAATCGAAATTCAAATGATCCAGGCATTCCTGAAAAGAAGATCCCAAACCACGGCCCATCCCCACGAGACCACCACCACGAGACACCACCACGAGACCACCACCACAAGACCACCACCACCACGAGACCACCACCACAAGACCACCACCACGAGACCACCACCACGACCACCAACACAACCACCCGCACGGACCCCCGCCACGGACCACCACCACGGACCAACCACCACGGACCACCACCACGGGACCACCACCACGGGACCACCACGGGACCACCACCACGAGACAACCACCACAGGACCACCACCACGGAACCACCACCACGAGACCACCACCGCGGACCACCGCCACGGACCACCGCCACCCGGCCACCACCATGGGACCACCACGACGGCCACAAGGGACCACCACCACCACCACCACCACCGCGACAGACCACCACTACCAAAGGAGCACCACCACCACGGGACCACCACCACGCTGTGGGACCACCACGACGAATACCACGGGACCACGGACCACCACCACGGGACCACCACCACGGGCATTCGGGAAAACCCCCCAAAAAAACAGCCTTTCAGCCCCAACCCCTCAGCACCCCAAAACCACCCACCCCCCACCACACCCGACAGAACCCAAACCATTACAGCAAAAGCAAAAAACATCAAAAAACAAAACCCCCCAAAACACGACAAAACTCCGGACACAAACCCTATACAATTTCCATTAAACCCCAAAACCCTACACCATAAAGCGTAAAACCCTGAACCCCGGGGATCCCGAAAATTCCCGGAAATTTGAATTCCTAGGATTTTTCGAGAGCTGTTGCTGATATGTGATCGTGAGGCCGAACCCCCTTGAACAGCTGGCGGGCGGCGACCGTCATCGGAACTACCCTGGACCAAGAGATTTCCTTGAAGATTTCCTTGAAGGTGAAGGGGCACCCACGTCATCACTGTTGCGCTGGAACCTTAAATCCAACCCGGCAAGCCCAAACCTCAATCCGGACAATTCCTAAAATTCCGGGAATTTCCAAAATTCCCAGGATTTTTAGACAAAAAGTATTAAAATTCCCGGAATTTTCAGGATCCCCCTGCAAGGCCCTCACAAGCAGCCAAATGGACCGGAAGAGGAGGCGGGGCATCCGACGGGGCGGAAATATGTATTTACATTCAAAGGGTCTTATCGTCGTATTGAACTCAAATTTTTAGATTCGTTGGACCTCCCTTTCGTAGGGTATAGGGAGTATAGGCCCTTAGAAAGGGTCTATTCAAGCAAGATGCCGAAACCAAACCTGCATGACAGATTTCTTGGACTCGCATATTCTTCTTAGAAGCGTGCTTCGTCTCACCATGGAGCATTCAAATACTCTGTCACAATCCGCCTCCGATCTTTTTGCTGTTCAACCTGAACCTGCTCTGCATGACGTCTCCTTGTTGGCACTTGGCGCATGCAGGTGACAGGCCGCCATGCCAGGACTTTCGTGGGCTTCGCGTGACGCTGTTGCCAGACTGGTTCAGAAGGTAGAGCTCCTGTATGGGACAGAACTCGAACACTGCAGTTGTTGTTGTTGTGCTGACGACTGTGCTGGCAGCCATGCGACAAGTTTCTTCGACAGCCTGCTTCTTTTCAGAACTGGACAGGGCCTGCAGCACGTCATTCCTTGGGCAAATTGGCAGGACGCAATCTCAATTGCTTGGGATCTTGGAAACGTTTGTAGCAGCATGTTGCTAGCTGTTGTAAACTGCAGTACAAGTTACTTGTAGCATGTAGCATGCACTCCAGCAAACCCAACAGGCGCATAATCAGCTGCGTAGTCGCAACATGAAATATGCAGGCAGTGCAGGAGCCAATGCCAAAACCGTACCGGGACGAATCGAGACAATTCGGGTAACTAGATGTAAAATGTAAAGCATCTCTCCGACAGCTTAAGCTGCACACGGGGAGCCATGTCCGTGTGGTGTGGTAGGGTCTGGTTTAGCAGTCTTGCCCCACCCCCACCTCTGTAGTGTGGGTTTAGGGTTTTAGGCTTGGGGAGGGGCCCATCCTCGTAACTGTCGGCATTTTTTGAACGCGAGGAAGATATGAGGCTCCAAAAATGACGAAGATGGCGAAGCCCAGGGGCCTCATTCTTGTACCTGTCGCTCTTTCGGAACGCGAAGGGGATACGAGGCTCCTTGTGACGACCGAGGATGGCGAACCCGAGAGCCCGGAGCCCGGGATCACTCCGGAAACAGACACACACTCGGGATCTGACTTTCATGAACCAACGAACACGCCGAAATCTGGTTCCAGTACTGTGCTTCAGCTGACAGTCTTTCGACCCAGAGTCAGGATCGGAGATCAAGTAGATGCTGAAAGATGATGAAATAGTCATGTAAGAGATGGTGCAAAATAGGTTCGCCGAGGCACAAAGAAATTCCTGCAATTTGCAAGGTGCCAAAACTTGATCTTTGGTGCTTTGCAATCTGGGGCTTGAAGCATAAGCCAAGAAAGCACCGACACCCCCCCCGTGTGTAAGATCCTCTCGACCCTGCGTCTCTGAGCATCTGACCGAATCTGACCGAATCTGACCGACATTTGCTGTCGGAAGTCCAGCCACGCGATTGTACACACGCACATTCACGCGCACATGGCCTGAAAACCTTCCCGCGCCCTGATATTCACCCCCAATGCTACTTTCCAGCCTCAAGGGAGGGCATCTTAGCTCATGAGAGCGTGTGCTACGCTTGCACTTTGGGATTTGACTCTTCCAGATGCATGTTCAAGCACTTTGCGCTTTCGGGTGTTCTCATTTCCTCAACGCGAAGGAAGTGGGCTTGTGTCTCTCAAAGCTTCGCGCAATTGCTCATGCAAATGCAAAGCCCCCTGTCCGAAGTCGAGGCTCGCAGTTTGGACTACGCGTTGGCTTTTGGGATGTTGACCTCAACGAAGCGCAAAGGCTCTGAGCACTGAGAGGGTGTGGGGATGTGTGGGGACTTTTTCGAAAGGATTCAGCATAAGCCTCTGGCGCAAGGCTCCCATCGTCAAATCCCACAAATCGGCCAGGTGTGGGAGCTCCTGTGACAGGGTGTCCCCAGATGTCTCTATGCTGCGAGTCCTACGTGTCCTGCTTTCTTTCCCGAAGACGCATACGTGACACTGGCAGCTGGCACTTAAAGCCTCCGCACCTGCTTGTGCTTCATGCAGATAACCAGCAGTGACTGTAAAGCAGCCATACAGACCTGGTTCAGTTCTGCAGCCTTCAACTCGTGCAGTCGATGGCCCTGTAATGTGCATGCGCCAAGAGCCCTGCCCATGCATACGGTTGGTGAAGTCGTAGGGCTTGCATAGTGGCTTCCAGTCCTGCAACAAAGCAAGCAAAACACAATCACAGGCCAGAGCAAGCCTTAATCGGTCGCCACTCGGACATCAGATTAAGGCTGGGTTGAAACACTCCAGTTCACTTTGCAGGGCCTGGCCTCACTACACTGAGCTTTCCTCAGAACAAAACTGCATGGTTGAACATTGTTCATATATAGCCTTGGTGGTGGTTTTGTCCGGGTTTAACATATAGACGCACCAAATCTGCAAAAAAAAGGGGGTTCTTCGGGATTAGTCTGGGTTGAAAGGTTTGGGGCTTTGGGCTTGTGTCCTCCAGCACGGACAGCACAGTCAGTGTCGCACCATGCAATTCCTGCCAGCACCTGGCTCAAGGGCAAGAGAATAGAGCCAACTCCAGCCAACGAGTCTGTGTATACATCAACGATGGCTTGTCAGATCCGCTTCTGGAAACCTTTTTCACAGGGGACCGTACCCTCCTCTTTGCATTTAGTGGCTGTTCACTGTTCAGGACGTCGTCGGGCATGCCCGAAACAGCCTCGCACGCGGCTCTCTGGAGGCCGACATCCAAAGGGTAACGGCGCATAGCCTTCAAAGCCCAAGATTGGTTGCCCCAAGCAATGAAGCAAGAAACAGATATGGCGATGCGGATGGTGTGCAGCAACCAATTGCCTCGACGACCAGCTCGGCAGCCCCCATCTCTGCCAGCGTTGGGCCAAAGCCTTGATTCAATAGCCTGCAGTCAGATAGAACGTTCCAGCATCTTTATTGCTTTTTATGGTCGTGTTATGTTAGGGCTTATGGGGTTTATCGTCTTGGGGTTTAGTTTAAGCTTTTTTAAGCGTTAGGGTGCTAGGCTTATGGGTTTATTCTGCCACTCGCCAAGCAGACCAGCCACACAAACCCTTTGAGGGCGGGGTTTTAGGGGTTTTGTTGCCACCCATTGAGGGATCACTCGGCGCTATCTCTGAGTCTGAGCAACTGCACTGTGAACCTGTACATCATCGGGACCACCCTCCAGCGGTACTGAAACTACAGGGCGGCATCCCAATTCACCAGCCGATCCGACAGGACATCCAAAGGAAAGGACGAGATCTCAACAGGGATTAGGGTGTCGGGTTTGTGGGGGGAGGGGGGGCAAGAACACGCACAACCAAGGCCTGCTTGCGCACCGGAAGATGTTCTTCTGCAAAGAGGGGCTTCCCTGGGACATGCTGGCTGCTTTCACCTGCCATCGGGAATCTTTGATGGCATTGTGTACAGTCTTCGTTTAAGCCGCCGACCCAATGCAAAGGCTCTGAGTCGGGCCCATGAGACTTGAGAATGTCCTGTGCAGCCTGCAGTTCTGTGGGACAAGTGCAAGCCTGAACTGATGTGACACCGGCCAGCTGCAAGCAAGCAAACACACAACCTCCGCTGGCAAGTCTGCGCTGATGCGAACGAATGCCTGTGGCAAGTTTTGCTGGTATGAACATTTGACCCCAACGGAAAATGCAACATGCCATTCCGCTCAAAAGCAGAAAGCAACACCTGTTGCAGCTTCTCACACACGTCGCCGCCCCGAGCAAAACGGATACATGCTTGTAGTACTGTAGCCTTGGACATGCAAGAGTTCAGAAACGTGCTGAAAGCCTCGACGTAAAGCAAGTACTCGGAAAATCATCTGAGCAGGTCGCAGCAGCTTTGGCTGCCAGCGGTTCGTAGGCTGCGCCTGGCGCATCGCAAGAGGCAGCGACCAGCCCTGTGAGGTGCTGCATATCACACGGCGCCTTTCTTATCCTCGTCTTTCTCCCAAACAGTGCTTGCGCTTTGGGGTTGTCATGTTTAGACTAAATAGCAGCGCGCCCGCGCGGCACGGTATTTCCTGTGGACCCCGTGCGCGTTTCAACTTGTTACCGACGACCTCTGGGTGTTCCCATGACGCTACCGCCTAGGCGCTGAGGCCTGGTTCAGAGCCCACTTCAATTCGCACTTTTTTTGCTCGCCTAGGTCGCGTGCACATTCCGTACTCGAAATCGTGTTCCCGCTCAAGTCCTGTGCGCTTTTTGAGGCTTGCGTCGCTTTGAGGCGCTCCGCGTCGCAAGATCGCACATTTCTTGCATTTTAGTTGCTCTTGGCTTCGATCCGTTCTAATTTGCTCTCACATGGTTCTGGGGTGCCGTCCGCATCCTTGCGAAGCAGCCGTCGTCCCAGTCCCTTTGGGCCCGGGAGTGCTCTTGAAGTGGTTTTGGAATTGTTTTGGAGTGCTTGTGGGGATCATGGAAAGCTCTTCGAGTACTCGCTGGGTGCTCTTGGGGATGCTCTTGTTTTGTCTCACACTGCTTGGGGTCTAGGAAGCACATGCGTGCATCTTGTTCTGCCGCATACCCCGGCCCTATCGGCGGCAAACCCTGCAGTGTCTGAATCCCGAATCTACGTCTTTCGTCATTGCAGTTATTACAAGTACCCCCTGGACTCACGAGATCTCGTCAACACAGGGTCCAATCTGCGTCAGCATGGCCAGGTGCCGCCGATGCCAATACATCCTTATGTGTTGCTCTCTGCTCTGGGGTCTAGTTGTGTCAAGTTGGTGTCTGTCTCACATTTGGTGCCTACGCAAAAAGGATCTCGCCCTGTCCCTGAAGGCCTATCAAGATGTATGGTGACATGCGCAACGATGAAAAAATCTCTCTCTCTCTCTCTCACAAAACACAATTGTGCAAGTCGATGGCTGTCTGGAAGTCCCAGGCAGCTACTGAGGCAAGCGGCTGCGAGCAATCTTGAGGCTGTCAACTGCAGCTCCAAGTGCGCCGCATGCTCCTTCCGGAACTTCCGGAGGCCAAATACTCTCACGTTGTGTCAGCGGCTGAATAGCATGGGCCTCTATGCCAGCCAGAACGGCAGTCAACACATCTGTCGCAGCCCTTTGGCTAATTCTGTTGCCGTTCGTCTTGAGGTGGCCATGCACAGCCTTGCAGGCCATCACCTGCCGACGCAGGGTCTTGGCAAAGCAGCTGTGAAATAAGAGCCACGATGAACCTTCCATGCTGTGACGCGGTCGCATGCAACATTTTTCGCAGCCACACCCAGGGCCTGTAATTCTGGACTGTGCGCATTGCGCCGCAGCACTGCCAGCAGTTCGTCCAGCTCCGTGCAAGGGACGCCCGCCTGCGCAACTCTTCGTCTTCAACCCTCTTCCGTATGTGACTTTACATCGAAGCCGAGCCTCCGTGAGGGCTTGGGAAGTCTTCAGCCTCTGAATTATTCAGGTGTGGAGGTCTCAGGATATGACAAACTGTTTCCTGTGGGCGGTGCGCAGAATTCACGAGGTGCTTGCCGGCTGTGCCGCTTTGATCCAACGCATAGGCTTCACTGGCTACCTGGTCAAAAAGACTGTAGCCTGCCAAAGATGAACTGCCTAGTGGCTTCACTTGGCCTGCGCAGCACCCGCCTGCCATTGACATGCTAGCAGTCTGTCGGCAAACTCGCAGCATGCGTTCACCGACATTGTTTTGCATTTCTTCCTCCCAGGGCCCCAGAGCCTGCGCTGCAGCTGCTGCTGCCAGCTCGCCGCATGCGGCCAAAGATGCATAAACCTGTCGAAGCATGTTTTAGCTTTTGACGGGCTTATTTGCTGAAGTCTCCTAGTATCGACGGGCAGATGAACCAGCCCATGAGTGCCCAATTGTAGAACGTGCTGGCGCCCTTAAAAGCATGGTCGCAGATCATGTGAAGCTAGTTTGATCATCCTGGATGCCTGGTGACCAAATATTTGATGCTTGCACGTCAAGCCTCCATGTGCGGCCTATGGCCGGGGCCTGGCTGTCTAGCTACTATTTGAAGTTTACTTAAGACTGTTATCATTTTCACCCAGCTGGTTACTATCGAAAACTTGGCATGTGAAGCCAGCCTGGCATACTTGTTGCCGAATTTCTTTGTCCGGAAACCTCTGCCTCAGATCACTCTGCTCCAGAAGTGAGAAGTGGATGGATTCATCAGTCAAGACATGCACATTCAACTAAGTTTTGTGTCAGAGAGAACAAGAACAAGCCCTCAAGGAGGTGCCAGATGGGATGGTCAGTAAGGCTTCTTGAGCCCAGGCACCCTGCCGCACTTGCAACGGCGGTTACAGCAGCTGTGGCATCTGCTGAAATGTTGCCTGCTTGCTAGAGAAGTCATCGAGCTAATTGGTACTTAACCAAATCTAGATCTGATAAGCTGCTGATAAGGTACGGTAGCTTACTACAGCACGAGGTGAGCGTTGTAAACTCTTGTAAACTCGATGAGTGGCAGGTGCAGATCCGAAGCCTGCAGAGGCAACGCTGGAACTTCTGGAAACTTGATGCTGTTGCACGAGGACGGCCATCACATGCAAGGCCTCGTCCCACTCAGAAGGAGGTTTGAATGTTGCATGTCGAGCTGGGTGACTGACATAAAGCTGAATGGGATAATCCTCCGGAGCCTTCGCCTCGAAGTGGGATCCCAACTCTTTTGCTTTTGGAACGGAAGAGGAATACTTCCAAGCTCTGCGCGGCAGCTGCGGCAATCGAGAGCACTCCATCTGCAGCTGCAAAGCTGCGAGCCTCAAGAGTATGGTCTAATGTGGCTTGCGCCGCACATGAGGGTCCAAGAAAGTACTGAGGATCAGTCAAGTTCTGGAGTAGCTCTGATGCCTGTCAGAAGGTCAGCAAGATGACCACGCAAGTCCTGGAAGCAAGCAAATGGCACGTAAACCATAACTGGAATTCGTGCGTCCTCGCAGTGTTGAAGTTCTTGCAGGGCCTGAGCATTCTTTGGGAGAGTCGCAGACATGCAAATGCTTGCGAGCACTTTGCGAGCTGCCTGTAGGAATCCGCGGGCAGAAGCAATCGAGCCTCGACAATAATGCGACTACCTGTGACCACATAGGTACAAGCCGCAGCTTTGCAGCTTGCCTCCAATTTCCCAGGCAGCCCTATACCTAAGTGCCGCAAAAAATGTTGCAGCTGCTGGGTTTTGCTGGACACGCTGTAGCCTCAATGTCCGCCGCTTTCGTCCATGGCTTCCCTCGTCGCCTCGCCCCGCAGGTGACTGATGGTGTGCTATTTTGCGGCCTCATCTGGGACCCTAACAAAGTGTCCAGGATATCCAGGCCCCGAGCCGGGCATCCCAAGCGCAACCAAATGAATTCATGCTAGCCCCCGAGCCAAAGGACATGCCGACCCGTGCCAAATCACTCATGCAGTTGTGCGGCGTATTGCTGCATGCTGTTCCAATCAAAGGGCCACAAAAACTTATGATAAGTCTTCCAAGAAGAGGCGTCACCGGTCTGTGACAACTGTGAGACGAGCTCGAATTGTTCTGCGAACTGCGAGCCGGACTGAACAACGTGGTGAAACAAGGAAACGGGCTCCTAAATGCTAGTTTTGGAATGTGTGACCCCGCCCTTTCCCCCCCCCTATGGTCTGGCAAGGTGAGCTTTGAGTGTCGTGCCCGCCTCACTCTTTGGACTGACGGCGGGACCCTCTCCGTGCCTCAGCTGAAGCGATGACTGTACTTGATTCCTGATGCGCTGATGCATGCTACTGTAGTCATCCGTCTTGACGGTGCCACTTGCTAAACGCAATGTCCCGGAAGCTGTGAAAGCTGTCTCGGAGCACGACCACTGGTTCTGAGTCTTCGCCGAGCTCGTAGCTTCTGGAAGCCCGCATGACCTCGCAAAGTCACGGGGGTACATGATGACTATGACGATCAGCTATGTAGACGGAGATAACTGTGTGCGTGCAACACAACTGAGCCGGGGCCAAGACTGGCTGTACTTCATCTTCTTCACCAAACTGCCAGAAAAAAGGAGGGATAGCCACAAGCGCCGGCATACATGTGACAAATCGTGTGGCGCTGCAACACACGGTAAGGGTGCTTTTAAATTGCATCCCGCCTGATCCACGTCTTGCTCAGCTTCCGTCATCGGAAGCTCCGTGGCGCGAGGGGCAGAATCTTCCTCGAATCCTTTGTCCTCGTCTTGAGGGTTCTCTTCTCTGTCATCTTCCCCATTCTCGCTGATGCTGTCGAAGCCTTCGCTTTCATCTTCCGGCTGGTCTTCCTCATAACCCGTCGCATCCAGGCCAGCCGGGCCGACATCTTCATCAGAGTCCTCGACTTCCTCGTCATTTTCTAACTCTTCCTCCTCAGCCTCTTCATTGCCTTCCCCTTCTTCGTTGTCAAACTCTTCAAGCTCCCCAAATCTGCCACTTCGGCCTGGGCTCATTGTTTGGTAGGTTGAGGTCCTGCGCCACGTGCACAACGTGACAATGCACACACACGGCAGCGCGAGGAGCTTTGTCGCTTTGTCTGATTTTAGTTTCTTACAACACCCATGTCTTCACACAGACATGCGTTTTGAGAATGAGCTTTTACTGGATGTTCCTTGTCTGATGTGGACTCGAGGTGGGGCAAGCAGACTGTGTTCGACAAGGGGGCTTGCGGGTCCTGCTCCGGAAGTTGTTCATCACGTTCTTCTGCTCAGCTTTCGAGGCGAATATGCCTGTCAAACAGAGGGGGAGCTGTTTCTTTTCCGACATTTGACATTGCTTTTTGCCTTTTCTGAATTGAATGTTTCGGTGCTGGGCTCATGGCTCATCCACGGCTCCGTCATCTCATACGCAACGGGACACCTAACAGGCTCGTACCAGCCCTACGTGAAGCTATGTTTGGTGGACTGGGTCTCTTGCGGCAACCTTTCGGGAAGCGGCGGCGGTTCCTCACAGCGTCGTAGCAGCGACTCGTATGTGCTCATGGCATCGTGCGGGGCCCAGTAATTGAGCTCTTTGCAGGTGGCGTCGTGGACTTCCCAATGCCTGCCCCAAATATCACGCTCAGACGCAGCAACATACACCGCGTCAACGGCTCCATGGTAAGCAGTCGAAGGTGCTTCGTACGAGCAGCGCGGGAACTGGTCTTGTCACGGCCTCGCACTGCAAGGATTCAGTGCTATCTTGCTGTCCTTGCCATGTCACTGAAACTTCTGAGGGTGGCCTCATCCTTCTTCACCTTCTCGTACTTGCCAGGAGTTGGAAACCGTGCCTGACAGCAAAATCGGCAAACAGCTTCGGGCTTCTCAAAATCCATCTCGAATGCTTTGGGAACTCTCTTCTCGAGCCCCACATAAAGCAAAAAGTGTCCTGGGGGTACTTCTGGGCCATGTCTTCTGGAGACAGGCACACCTTGCTTGCTCAACATTGGGTTGCAAACCTTCCATGGATCCAAAGCGACTGTGAAGCTTCAAGAAAATGGAAACCCAGTCTTGCAATCTCCCTTTCATTCTTATCACCGAGCTTGAGGTATAAAGCTGTAAAGGCCGCTATGGGCGAGGATGAACTGCTTAGATGCATGATGCACCAAGGCAAAGCCCGTGTATAGGTGACTGGTCGCAAATGCACACAGACGGCGCTGCCAGTAAGCACTCGGCTCGCCCGTATTCAAAGCTTTGCTCCTCTTGGATGACCGTAAGCAGCTGAACAAAGGCATCGCCTTGGGACTTCTGTGCAGGACCCTGGGACCCTGCATGCGACGCGTGTGTGTGTGGGGGCTCAGCTCTCTGCTCCACAAATAACGGCTGTGATCTGTGGAGACCGCGACCACGTGATAAACCACGGCCTGACGACCAGTTTACAATATACGTGTGTGCAATATATCGACGGCGGTCGGACTCCACTTCAGCTGATGTGCAGCTCGTGCCTTTTTGAAGCTGGGGTCTTGCTGAAACAGCCGTTGGGCCGTCTTGACGCTGAGCCATGCTAGTGGCATGTTCTGACCTGAAATGGGCAGAAGGCTTCGGCATGTCAGGACGATGTCTCAATCTGTTTTGGTATAGCTCCGTTTGGCTTCTGGCTCTCTGCGAGAAAACGAACCTGTCGCCATCGATTTCAGGACATGTGGCGGCTTGAGAAGCTTCGCGCCTCGTTCACAAAGCTGCCTTTCCAGCACCAGTCCTGCACGGGATGCACAACCATGTACGTGCTGCAAGGGGCAATCGACATCCGCCTTCTGGCTGTTGGGAGTGTATGCCTTGTACCTGAGATTCGAAGAGTGTGATGCTGGAGGACGTCGACTCCGCATGCAAGCGACTCAAGGCCGCTACCAAATGTCGCCTCCAATCCGGGTAGGTCCTGAAATTCCAAACTCGGCACACAATGAAACCCATATTCGCAAGGGCCGCAGCAGCTGCCTTTCAACCTGTTCTTCGACTGCAGATCTTCAGACTTTGCCTTCAGGACCTTCAATTTTGGGTACAGATGGCAAAGGCAGTCGAGCTTCATTCTGATCTGTTACGCTTGTTGCATGTTCTATCTGGTTCTGTTTGTGACGAATGCACTGCTGCACCTTCCAGGTCGGCACGAGGTCAGCACCTCAACCCAAGACGCCCATCCAACACTTGTCACATCTTGGCCCCCTAGATGTCCCAAAAGATCAACATACCCAAACAAGAACTCACAAGTACCAAGCCTAGGTTGTGGCCCCGCAGCCAGGTCAAATGACCTTGAAAATTTTGCAGTGCGCACACCAACGTCATGTGGTCTTGCTGTCCGGGCAGGATATCAAGCAAGTCTCCAACCCAGCGCCGTATTTCGCAGCTGCCGGATTCGTGCCTTCTCATCCTCAGCGGCCAAATGGCATGTCCGCGTCGTGCGGCCGTGCAGGCAACAAGACATAACAAGGGGGAGGCCGAGTGGGTACTACGTGCGAAGCCAGGTTTATCATTGCTTCTTGAACAACATGTCAGCCACTTTCGCGCTTGCAAGGGTGCACTGCTTGCGACGGCTGGACCTTAACAAACATTTTGAACCAACTCATGTGAAACAAACAAACCGTCCTTCCTCCAAAGCCCATGCGATATATGATCAACTCACCATTAACCTGTGATGCAAGGGGCCTGCAGTAATATTTTTTGAGCCCGGAACTGTATTGTAGTGTTTTTGATCCAAAACCTATGCAATGATTCTTCCACCCTGTGGACACTGAAGAGTAGGGCCGGTAGAGGATTGATTGCAGCATGGTCCGGGTCGGAATGCTGGTGGCTAACTTACTTTAAGTATAGATTGAAACAAGGGGGTACACAAGTGTCATTACTTCCCTTAGGCTGTCATTACACATGAGATGCCAACTCGCCAGGCGCAAGAAAGAACTGTTCAGATGGGCATGGCGCGCACACGCGCACGCACAAACGCACACACGCACACACACGCACGCCCACGCCCGCGCCCGCGCCCGCGCCCGCGCCCGCGCCCGCGCCCGCGCCCGCGCCCGCGCCCGCGCCCGCGCCCGCGCCCGCGCCCACGCACACGCACACGCACACGCACACACACACACACACACACACACACACACACACACTCGGCCTCCAGAAACTTCTCTTTTGCGGCCTTTTTGGCTGCCTTTTCTTGTAGCTCCTGGTGTGGGCAGGCCAAGGATCCAAAAGTAACGAGGGCTCCGAGGGCTACTCAGCGGGCCTCCCTTCTTTCGTCCGTCATGTCTTCCATGTTTTCCTTAAACAGCTTGGTGCAGCTGTTCCATGCCGTTTCACATCTACAGGAACACAGGGAAGGTGTGCAAGGAAATGTTTCTCGTAAAGGATGGCACATCTTCTTCGTCCGAGTCTTCCTGCGCCGTGCTCTCCGTGAAATAAGCTCTCAAGTTGGGACTTGCCACGGGCCTCTTTCAGCTCACCTTTGTCGCCGCCGCCAAGCCAAACGCTGTTCAAGTTCTTGAACGGATCATCCCCTGCAGACGGGGGTGTTTCAGTGAAACTCAGGCTTAGAGGTTCAATTTATTCATTAAAGGCGACGACCCCACTATGCCTCACCTCTGTACACTGCATGTTGAAGCAGGAGGTGCGTATGCTCGACATGGGGCTCCATCAGGACGGAAGTCTGCACCTTATGCTTGCATGGATGCTCAGAACGACTGTACCTACAGGACTTCCGGTGAGGAGACCGCAGATCGAGCAGGGCTGCATGTCAACAACCTTCGCATTTTTTGTCAGCTTGCTGATGCTGAGGTCGCCGCTCGACTAAGTTTCTTCGACGAAATCTGGCCATCACATGCCACAGAAGAGACATGGCTCAGTTAGAAACTCTAAAGCTTGTGGCCAATCTGTGCCCCACCCGCTAGCCAAACCTTAGAGAGTGCCACAGCATGCCCCGCACCAGTAAAACAGGTTACGCTTATGTGCAAAGCATCACATCACACCGCCCGTCCTTCGAGCGTCGGGATTTTCTCTTCTCAATCGGAGGCAGCACAACTCCTGCAGTACAAACTCTCAGCTATCTCACTTCTTCGCAAGGCTGCAGGCATAACTCTGTACAAGTGAAGCAAGACTTTCTCGGGAACAAACTTTCCAAGCCTCACAAAACATTCAGTTTGTGCAGTTTGTGCGTGCGTAACGCTGGTGCAGTCCTTTGTCCCTTCGGAGCCCGCCGAGCGACCTACTTCAACCAATTCAGGATCGGGCGGCCACATGTCCAAGAGCTGAGAAGCTTTGAGACATTCGTCATCAACTTCAGGATGGCGAGGCTAGAGGGTGCTCTTGGCTTTGCTCGAAATGTGCTGACTGCAATGAAATGTCCACAGCTGGGGTTCATGCATAAAGGACGCGCGGCGAAGGTTCGTCAACATGCCTCTGACCCGACCTCATGCAACTGAGTGCGTCTTGTGAGATGCGTCGCAGGTCGGCGCCCACTATGGGGCCAGCTGGACGAGTGCTGCACAGCATTCAATGGCCTCAGGCCAGTATCTACACATCGTCGTTGTCTTGTGCATGTGGCCCTCTGTACAAGTAGAAGCCTGTGGTGCCACCAGGACACTGGTGTCACCGGCAGCCGTCCGTATGCTTGCAATGGCTTTTGAAGCTCTGAGGCTCTGAGGTTCAGGCGCTATCGATGCCCTTCGAACCCTAGAGAGCATTCCTCCAACACCTTTCGCGTATGACATCCGATGATCGTGCAACCCACGATGGCTTGACATACTACACTTACCACACAAACACACATACCAAACAGAAAGGCACATCACAGAGCGAGCGTGATGGCAGCAGGGGCGCACTAAGCGTCTCTACCCACTTGCCCCCACTTGCCCAACCCCACCCCTTTGCCCTTTGTGGTTCAAGGTTCAGGGATTTGGGGTTCGTGTGCCTTGAGTTTAAGGGGTTAAGGGATCCGGAGGTTTAATCGCTCACACTCGGACAAGCCAGGCGAGGGCCGAGGTTTAGGGTTTGGGGTTGCTGAAATAAAGCACGTGATCAGCGGCTTTGGTTTCAGGGTTTAGGGCTTAGGGTCCTGAAACATTGCGCTCGCCGAGAGCCCCCTACTATTGGCCAGTCTTGAACCCGTAGCTTTCCTATTTGAAGCCTCCTGCAACACGAGAACCGAATGAACCCGCAGTTGCATGCCCAAGCGTGCGCACCAATTGCTCCGGACCCGGTGGGGGCACTGGGGCGAGAAGGCTTACCTTTCCACCAACAGATTCACCAAGCCCCGACATGGCGCGAGCCTTTCCATGATTCGTTTTGCTTTATAATCCCGTTCCTTTTTGGCTTAAACAATTGATGGTGTCGAGGTGTACGCACTTACGTTTGAGTCAAGGAGTCCGACCAAGGGCGGCGAATGCAGCTTCGTATGCTTTCCGTGGTTGCTGCTGGCTTCGGTTTATGTCGGGCTCATTTGTTCTTAGGATGGCTTACTGTGTTGCAGCGCCAGGAAAAAAGCAAGATGATTCTGCACTCCCCCGACTTCCCTGGAAACAATAAACAAACACCTCAAGGCAGATTCACTCACAGAAAAAGCGGAAAAAAACAAATGATACTTGCGCTGAAGTAGAACAACTACTGCAACTGGCCGGTGGCCTGTGTTGGAAGGGCTCTCCGGGTCTTGGTCCGTCCCGGACGGCGCCCTTGCAACACATTTCGCATCTCAAATACCGTGCTGGATGCTGGCCTAAACTGGACTAACTACAAACTCTGGAAAGCAGGAATGTGTTTCAGCACTTCCCTAACTGTTAGACTCCAACTACTGTGCGCACAAGACTGAGCAGAATGCAAGAACGATGCTCGACGCATAGAGGAGAGCATGGCGCCATGACCTGGCGGCATGACCCGATGGCTAGTGCAAGCTGTTTGATCTGCTGAACGTGGTAGCTGATGCCTGGTCAGCCAGGTGCCCGCCAACCATCCCCCGCGACTCCCTCTGAACCAAAAGGGATAAAAGGGTGTTGCGACGTGCTTTGAAGCAAGTGACAGTGCGACGTGCTAACTCAACCTCCTCTGCCCTTCACATTGCTCCCTTGTCAGCCTTGGAACAAAACGCATTTCAGAGACCTGAGTCGATGGTGTTGACTCAGTTCCTGCCGCTGCTGCGTGTAGCCTCTGTCGCAAGGGACTCGACAAGGCCCGCGGAGTCACAGCGCGCAGCATCCAGCAGCTCCCACGCAGCAAGCTCCAGCCTTTCAGACCTTGGAAAACGAGAAAGCTGCTTGTGGCCCGTGGAATGCTGCTGCTACTCACTCGGCAGATGCGCATCGCCCTCTTACATGGTGACTGAGGTCGCAACTGCTCGTACAGGAATGTTATGCTTTCGGGTGTCACTTCCAGGCCATGGCCCGCCAAACACAGGACTGCATTGCGGACGCGTGATATCCTTTCTCTCCTTGCGGCTCCACAAATTTCGATCAGGACGCGGTGGTTGACTATGTTGACTTAAGATTACAAAATATGTCAAAGCCCGACTTGCGCTTGCCGGGTTTCATGTCCGGATTGACCTTCTGATAGCGGACATCCATCTGCGAAAAGTTTATAGTCTCTTGCCTGCCAGAGCCAGCCACTTTGGGCGGAGCACAAACCCAAACCCAGCCGTTGTTGCCCAGAACCACCATAACCCCGACGCGCGGCAGCGTCACCAAGTGCTGTGCTTGACGCCTCACGTAGACAGATGGCACGGAGGCAAGCACTCCATTTTGGAGTTTCCCATATCTGGCATTGCGGGTCTGCAAGGCCAGTTCACCCGATTCGTGAATTTTCTGCACTTCTGCAGATATAAGGTCATTTTCATCAAAGAACTCCCGCATGCGCAGGGTATCCTCGTCGGTGCGGCGTCGCTGCACATTTCCAGGTAGTTGAATGGCCCCTAAGTGAAGGTATGCCAATTGGGCGGTGCCGATTTCAACTGCCCATCGATCAGTTTGCACTTCGACGATACGGCCAACAACCACATCACCCACGCTGCCGGCGTAGCGATGTTTCAATGGCCGAACGTACAGGAGCTTGTTCACATGCTCCACAACGCCACAGGTTGTTGCAACCAGCTTGCCGTCATGGCGTTCCACTACCCCGCGGCCACGCAAAGCACCAGGCTCTGCTGACACAACGTCGCCAGGGCAAACAAGTTGAGACTGTAAGCCAGGAATCGTCTGCACGGAGAGCTTGGCACGGGCAGAGTCAAAGAGTGTGAGGGAAGCATCCCTCTCTGTGTGATCGGCTCCCCGGCCTCGTCTCTCCACAGCCACTGCACCGGCCAGTGGAGCAATTGCTGCTGCCCAAGCCATGTGTGCAAACCTTTGATTCTACCGAAAGTTTGACATAAATGTGGCCGCTGTAGGCGCCGCAAATCTGGAAATTTACAATCTCTACATGTTTTCTGTTGGTACTTGCATGCTCCAAGTTCAGAAGATCGTAGGCATGCGAGAGTTGAACTCGTCTAGCGTCCAGGCTGACAAGACCGATTTCGAGTCGACCCTAGGTCTATTGAGTCGATTGTAGCCTCAGACTTCAACAAATGGCACACGGCAGCATTGTTCCTTTTCAGATCTCGTGAATGCCATGGGCTTCACTTGTGCGGTCCTTGCTGGTAACCAGCAGCCGCGAACCGACGATGGCTGAGTTGTGGCATTGCAGCTCCGTGGAGGGATTGTCTTCCCCAGCCCCGTGCTGCGCAAGCTCGCTTCAGCGAGGCTTGTAACATTCTACACAACAACTCGGCGCCTGGATAGGATCGGCTGAGAAGTGAACAGGATTCCCAGATTGCATTGAGCTCGAATCATGATCCACATCCCCTATGGCCGGCTCAGACATTAGCGTTGGTGTTCGGCATGGCGAGTCGTATGGGCCTTGCTTGCATGCTTGCGCCATTTAGGAAACTCATGCTTTCTTGGGTGAACTTCAACGCAACCGCATGATGTTGCCAGGATTTGCATTGACAGCAAAGGATGGCAAAGGATACAACGTTATACTGCCGCGAAACCACGCTTGTAGCTCAGCGGCTCGGGCTCGGCTTGAGCAAGCCCTATGCGACCACTGCTTGAAGGGGAAGTGGGTTTTGAAGCCGTGCGAGCACCTCAACAACTACAAACAGAACACCAGAGGAGATCCCATGCCCTCGTGTTCCTAAGAGCTGCGCAGGCGATCGATGCCATCACTCGACCCCAGAAGGTGTCTTCTTCTTCTTGCCTGGCGTGCTTACACAACTGCAAAGCATCTGCCTTCCTTTGGGCTAGCTGGGCTGGGAAGCAGCTTGCCTGTCGGGCTGAGTGGGAGCATCGCGAGCCTGCAAGCCAGCACGGGTCACTCCATTGTTTCGTCGTGCCCCGCGGTCCCTATCCCACGCGCAGGGGCCAGGCATATTGGAGCGGGGGGCGGGGGGCTGAATGAGGCCTCAATCAACGCTTGACTGTCGGGTGGGGCGTGGGGTTGACGGGAACAAGGGCTAAATCAATCTTTTTTGGGGTGCGTGTACGTTTAAACACGGATAAATGCACCAGATACGGCCTCGAGGCCAGCTGGGATCCGTTAAAAGAAACGATGCAAAGCCCTAAGAAGCTAGCGTTTGTGATAAGGTGCTGCAAGTCCAGTCGATGCAAGGATGCCTCCTTGAGGGCATTGACCTCTCGTCTGAGCTTGGCGTTCTCTGCCAAGACCTGCAAGTGAGCTGAAGCACGACGGCGGTGCTTCAGCAACCATCAAAAACAAGCTGGGCTTTGACTTTGAGTGCCGAGCTACTTCTGCCTGGTCCTCCGAAGTACAAGCATAGACAAAAGGAAGTTGCATTGGCACGAGCACTGTCGAGCAAGACAGCCTTCTGATTGGACTTGCAAAATCGGAACATCATTTCGGGGCCCCTGCATACTAATGCACATTGACAACACACTTGCTGCTGACGCAGGAGGAGTGTGGTTCCAAGTGCCCTGCATTTCAACCCTTCAAAGCTGTTTCAGCTTGTTAGTGAAACCGATCTTCATGTAACTTTGTAGGCCCTCAAAGTTAACCTAGGTCGTCATGCATGTGGATTAACGTAAACGCAAAGGTATCTAGGCCTGCATGATAACGACATTGTTCACTTAATGAAGATGCAATCTCTTGTGATTGCCACAGCTGTTATCAGGCAAACGCTTGGATTTGTGCTCTGGAAAGCAGGAAACGTGCCCACACATATTTCATGGAGCGACGTCGCGCACACCTTGTGTAAATGAAAGAAAACCCATGAGTCATTGATTTAAACGACTTTTTTTTGGTGGGCCTTCTTGGCTAAAAGAAACCACTGCTCGTCCGCTTGTCTAACGCTCCGAAGTTCACATTCTTCTGATGCCCTGATCGTCTCTTGGGTTCCATACGTGCCCCGATTTCATAGACGCCTGGCCAAAAAGGCAAGAAACACTGCTCTGCATCTCCTTTGCTGCCTGCAGCTGCTTCCTGACATCCTGATGCCGGCCCATTGCATTACGTCAGTCCCGGCAAGCCAGCCGAACAACGTGAAAGCACAGCCGTTTCCTCGTGCTTGGCGGCTTCCAGCTCCTGAGGGGAAAGCCCTCACCCATATCTGCCAGTGACTGATGGGCTTGCACACGCTGAGCAGCATGGACATCGTAGCAACCCGATGCAACCCTTTTGCCAGTAGGCAGGCCTTCCTGATGACTTAAATCCAAGCTTACCATATACCTAAGCCTAGCTGCAGGAATGAGCTCTGCATAAAGCACGTGGGTATCTGAACCAAAAGGCGCCCAGCTCTCTCCTTGACTTCCGCCAGCTTCTGCCTCTGAGATTCAGCCTCCTTTTGCTGTGCCTGTGTCGCGCAGAGCATCACAACGTCTACAGAAGGCCCCCAACACAGGCCCTGGACATGCCTGGAAGTTCTCCACTTGCAGTCGCAGCCCTGCGAGCTCACTGGCAGCGACTCGAAGATCTTTGGCAGCTGCAGCTTGGGTCGCCTGGACGACGCCAACTGTCCTGCGCAACTCTGCCGAGATGAGGGAGCCCTTGCCTGTGCTTCTTGGAGCTGCTTTGCCAGCTGCTTCGAGCCGCTAACCTTCGATGGGACGGCATTGCAGGCAGGGTTCAAACATTGAAGCGCCAATTGCCCGTGCCTTGGCTTCCTCGAGTTGTTGCTGTCGAAGTGAAGCAACCTCCTTTGAAGATTCAGCATCGGCCTCCGTGGCAAAGTAGCTGAGTCCCACATGAAAAACACGATACATCCATGATCCTTGAACAAAAAGTTGTGCAAGCCATTATTTGCTGCCTTCGCTGCTGCAAGCTCTTCTTGAAGGCCTTGTATCTCTACGGGCGCTTCAGCCTGCGAGCAGAGTAAAAAACGGGCCGCTCTGCTCGGGGCACGTGCAACATCGTGCAGCATGCCTCGGCGCTGCGTCTGTAAAGTGTACGGAGCTGCTGCATCCAAAGTGCATAGACACAGAAAAACCTTTCGCGCACAAGTGCCTGGGTTTGCTCGAGCTGCTGCTGTCGAAGTGTGGCAACCTCCTTTGATGATTCAGCGTCGGCCTTCACATAGCAGCAGCTGAATCTACTTGTGTACTCGTCCTGCCGTGTACTAATTATCGTCTACGGTCTCTTCCGTGCTCTAATCTGGTCTATAACACATACCATAGATGTCTACAGACACATATGTACATACATATATATATATATATGGTACCCCCCCCCCCCCCGTGACCTACCCTTTTTCGCCTTGTCTTAAGTCATCCGGCTGCAGTGCAAGCAAACTCGGTGCAATATAGCGTGTTTCCTAGGGCGTAGACTACAATACAACAAAAATCGCATACACGGGACAGTAGAAAACCAAAATACCAAAACCAAAAAAACCAAAACAACCAAGAAAAACAATTTTCCGGAACTCTCAGGAATCCCTATGAGGCTTCTCCAAGAGTCCCGGAAAATTGTTTTTTTTGGTTTTGGTGTTTTTGTTTTTTTGGTTTTTGTATTTAGGCTTTTTGGTTCGCCTTCACGGTCACGAGGCAACAACTACGCATTTTACGTGGTCTTTCTAGTGCTTCAGAACTATTTGTTTCGTTATTATGTACGTAGAACCGCTTCGCTTCTTTTTCAACTAGTGTTTAGTGCATCTCTTGGTTGTACTCAAGTGTAGTAGACCTTATTCAGCCATTCCTTGGTGCTCTGGTAGCTAAATTCGCATGGTAATACTTGCCTGGTAAAAGCTATTAATTATCTAGAAGCAGCATTTGCAATACTTGTCTTGAGAGAAAGCATTTATTGCTTAGAATTGTTTGCTTGAAAAGTGACTCCTACTTGTCCAGGGATACCCCAACACCCTATAATATAAACTTCACCAGAGATTCTCCTGAAAAGCTTGCGCTTTTGGATGTTTTTTTGTATTTGTGAATTTGCTTGTGTATGGCCTTCACTAAGTACTTTTCTAGGATTCTTGTGCTTGTTTTAAGCCTGATTGTGCAAGTTGTGTTTTTCAAACATAGTATATAAGTGGTCTTTATTGAATACTTCAGACATCTTTGTTTCATCGTTATGTAAGTAGAACCGCTTCTAGTTCCATTATTGTGCATATTTAAGCTTGCTTATGCAAATTGTGCTTTTCAGACATAATATATAAGTGGTCTTTATTGAATACTTCAGCAATCTTTGTTTCATTGTTATGTAGGTAGTACCGCTTCCATTTCCGGAAGTGTTTATTTCGTATTTGGTTGAGTATGGTCCTTTAAATAGTATTCGCTTGAGTCAAATTGGGCTATTTGCTTAAGAATTACTCTAGTAGTTAAATTCGCATAGAATGAATATGTCAAAAAAATTGTTTCATGAATATGCAAACATAAGGTATTTCAGTGGAGCAGATAGTATTTCAATTTTACTTTGCCTGGTATAAACACAACTGTTTCAATGCACTAGTTGCTCAACAAAGCACTATTTTGCCCTTTAAACGCACACTTTGCCATATTTTGGTTGAACATGGTGCTTATTTCGTATTTTGGTTGAGTATGGTCCTTTAAATGGTATTCACTTGAGTCAAATTGGGCTATTTGCTTAATGCTTACTCTAGGTAGCTAAATTCGCATAGAATGATTATTTCAAAAATAAATAAAGTTTCATGACTATGTAAACATAAGGTATTTCAGTGGACTTTTCAGATAGTATTTGATTCATACTTTGCCTAGTACAAACACAATCGTATAAATACAGTAGTTGCTCAACAACGCATTATTTGCCCTTTAAACGCACACTTTGCCATATTTTGGTTGAGAATGGTGTCTATTTCGTATCTTGGTTGAGTATGCTCCTTTAAATAGTA